ATTGCCATCTTAACAATATTTTCTGGGCGCCTGGGTGGCTCAGTTGGTTAAGCGACTGCCTTCGGCTCCGGTCATGATCCTGGAGTCCCGGGATCGAGTCCTGCATCGGGCTCCCCGCTCAGCGGGGAGTCTGCTTCTCCCTCCAACCCTCCCCCCTCTCATGCTCTCTCTCTCTCTCTCATTCTCTCTCTCAAATAAAAAAATAAATAAATAAAATCTTTAAAAAAATTATAAAAAAAAATAAAAAAACCACAATATTTTCTGATCCACCAACATGAGATGTCTTTCCATTTATTTAGGTCTTCTTTAATTTCTTTCATAATGTTTTGTAGCTTTCAGTATATAAGTTCTTCATCTTTTTCATTAAATTTATTCCTAAGTATTTATTCTTTTTGATGCTATTATAAATGGAATTTTCTTAATTTCACTTTTAGATTGGTCATTGCTAGTGTACAGAAGTACAATTGATTGTTGTATATTGATCTTGTATCCTACAACCTTGTTGAATTTGTTTATTATTTCTAATAGTTTTTAGTGGATTCCTTAGAATTTTCTATATACAAGATCATGTCATCTGCATGGTTTTACTCCTTCCTTTCCAATCTGGATGTTTTTTATTTCTTTTTCTTGCCTAACTGCCCTGGCTAGAACCTCCAGTACAGTGTTGATTGGAAGTGGCAAGAATAGACATCTTTATCTTGTTCCTGTTCTTAGGGAGCAAACATTCAGTCTTTCACCACTAATAATGTTAGCTGTGGGCTTTTCATAGATGTCCTTTATTAGGTTGATTTGGATTACAGATTTTGCTGAAACATGTATTTAAATCATATGCTACAAGAGCAGTGTAGAGTGTCACTTAACTAGTGATACTAGCCAAAAAATAAGCTATCAAATCCCCACATACCTTTATTTTCTAATCTTATTTTATTAGGCATTTTGGGAGCAAAATTATATGATAGAGTTACATACCTCATCTGAAGCCTGGTCCTTTCAGTATCCAAGTTTGGTACAGAGGCTTATGAAAACACATAAAATATCTGTCCAAAGCCAAGAGAAATTGAAAAGAATTAAAACATCATTGGAATCTCTCAAAGAGTATCAAATGGGATCCAATTCAAATTCTAAGAAAAAACTTTAAAAATCTCTCTTTATTCATTCCCCCACAGGAACCCACAATCAAGATCTCCTCCCCCCCCACTCACCCCCCATTCTCTGCCTTTCTGTATCCGTTCATTATACCTTTTAGGAGAGAAATTGCACATTTGTGACCCATATGCCAAATTTGGTCTATGCCTGCATTTAGTTTGATGAAACATTTTAAACATAAATTTAATTAGTTGGTAAGATTTATAAATTAGGAAATGACACATAAAAATCAATGTATCTGATTTACCTTGAAAAACTTGAGTTTGGGGAAAAAAAAGAAAAGAAAAATTTGAGTTTGGCAAAATGTGGCCTGCATTTTTACTACTGACTGGTAGTGAACCGTGACTGCTTCCTTCAAATATGACACGTCCTCTAATTTGCTGCAGTCTTTACCACTCCCTATTGTATTACAAATGGCCAATTTTACTATTTATGATACAGGCTTAGCCTCTGTAGGGATTGGAATTTATGACCTTTTAATGATATCCTTTCCAATGTATATTAATTACACTCTCTCAGATTCCTTCCAATTTTGCAACTTTTTCTATTTATTATACTGGATAGTATAACAAAATTTCTGAAAGCCCCACAGAATCCTTTGAGCATTGTCTAGAGTCCAGAGATAAGCTGTGGCCTTTTGGGCCCTGTAAGCATATTAAAATTCCTGTGGAGACCTCTATCTGATAAAAAGGAGGGGTAAACTCAAACAACTGGTTACACTAACTTTGCATATGTGAGACCTCTTTCAGAGAAGAAAAGCCCATCTCAGAGAGAGAATAAAGGGGGAAAGAGCTGGGCAGTCTGTGCCTATGATTGTTAGAAAAGTAGTGATTTACAATACTGGTCTTTCTGGAAAAAGGAAGAGGGGATGGAGAAAGAAAGCAGCTATTACAGTAACATCAATAGGACCTATGAAAAGCAATTACAATGTCAATGACTTAACATAAATGACATACATACTTCAACTGATGAATTAAGAGCTATTATTTTCTCTGGAAGTGGCTACTGTAGGTTAATGTAAATCGTTGACTGTGGGGGGAAAAAAACCTTGTGCTTACTTCAGTCTGTTTCTTTACTCTGCCCTTTAAATCTTTATTTGTATTTCTTAAAGACCTCAATTATCTTAGAATGACTGGGACAACTTTGTAGTATTTAATGTTTACTACAATTAATCTTTTTTCTAAAACACAAGAACTCCCCAATATCTTCAATAGTGACAGATTCCATTAAAAGGTCAACCTAAAAACAAGACTACAAAAATCAAAAGCTGCATTTGGAATACACGCATATGTTTGGGTTTTTGGATTACATTTCAGTAATCCTCTACCTAACAAGAGAATGTAACAATATGTATATGATTCACAAAATAGAGTGAAGCTGGTTTCCTAAATATGGTTATATATTCATTATTATATAATTGGTCTCAGTTTCTTTTAACCAGTAACTGTTAAAAAGCAGATCTACTTAGTAATAATAATTAATTTTTGATTGGTTACACTATTATGATGTCAGATGGAACCCAATAATTTGGACCACAGTAGGTTTAGTATATTATACCTCTACGAATGCACTAAATATATATAAGAAAATTATATTTTATCATTTGTTCATTTGTGTTCTTACTTCAAGACTATTTGTTGTTGTTGTTTTAAGATTTTTTATTTATTTATTTGAGAGAGAAAGAGAGAAGCACAAATGGCAGAGGGAGAGGGACAAGCAGACTCCCGGATGAATGCAGAGCTCGACATGGGGCTTGATTCCGGGATCCCAGATCATGACCTGAGCTGAAGTCAGATGCTTAACCAACTGAGCCACCCAGGCACTCCCAAGCTTATTTGTTAATATTTGATATGTAGAGCAAAGAAAACAGTGTGTGTACTTAAACACATACATATATAGATTCAGAACAGTTAATAATGTGAAGTGCTTAGTTTGTCAACACAAAATGAAGTCTTTTAGAATTTCTTTAAGAAAGAAAGAGTTTTATTCCATCCCAAATTAGGACAGCTGCCCAGATGCACAATCTTCATAAAGAAGAGAGTGCTCCAAGGAAAGAACATTTGGTGTAGGATCATATACATTGTTTACATAAAAAATTACAAATCATTAGATAAAAGACAATGCAGAAAGAAACAGACTTTATCTTAAGCTTAGTATATGTAGGGCTGCATGACCTTAATCTTACAGGAATCAGGGAGGTGTTTTGTTTTTGTGTGTTTTTTTAACTCTTTATGTATGAAAAGCTCTTTTTTAGGTTATTTATAAACAAAGCAGATGTACAATATGTGCTGAGGGCAGAAATAGAGCCCATGCTTTGAGATTTTTGCTGACTCTGGTAAATGTTAATGCATACTTTCCCTGAGAGCCCATAAGCCTCTTTATTAGGCATAAGCAGGCCCACAAACATTAAAAGTTGAAAATTCCTTTTATGTTATCGAGTTCAATTCCTGATCTATAGTAAGTCATCAATAAATGTTGGCCATAATTTTGTTTTGTTTTGTTTTAAAGATTTTATTTATTTATTTGAGAGAGAGAGAATGAGAGCATGAGAGGGAAGAGGGTCAGAGGGAGAAGCAGACTCCCTGCTGAGCAGGGAGCCC